TGTACCAGGAGAGACGGTTCCGTAGATCGGTTGGTCCCAGATCATGCAGGGCATTGGAGGTTAAAACCAAAACCTTGAATCGATCCGGCGTTCGACTTGGGATCCAGTGCAGCTGGCGGAGCACCAGTTGTATGTGTGCCCTAAGAGGGGTGCTTATAAGCACACACGCAGCCGCATTCTGGACCAGTTGCAGTTTCCGGGTCAGTCTCAAGGGCGGCCCTGCGTAAAGCACGTTACAGTAGTCCAGCCTGCAGGTGACCATTGCATGGATCACTGTGGCTAAGTCGGGGTTGGGGGGGGGACACAGGAAGGGGACCGACTGCCGAACTTGGCGCAGACAGAAAAAAGCCAGTCTGGCAACATTTGTGATCTGGGCCTCCATTGCAACGGAGGCATCCAGAATAACTGCTAAGCTCTTCGTGAATGGCCTTGGCGTCAACGGGTCACCGTCAAGGCCTGGAAGTTGGCATCCCAAACTGGGATCTTCCTTGGCTCAGCCATAGGACCTCTTTCTTCGATGGATTTAGTTTCAGCCGACTCGGCCTCAGCCAATCAACCACGGCCTCTAGACCCCTGGCCAGATTGTCTCGGGCAGTATTCAGCCAGCCACCCACCAACAGATATAGCTGGGTGTCGTCAGTGTACTGGTGACATCCCAGCTCAAAGCGCTGTATCAGCTGGGCAAGAGGGCACATATAGATATTAAATAACACTGGGGAGGGGACCGGCCCCCCGGGGGACACCACACACCACAGGATGCCGCGTAGAAACCTCATCCCCAAGTGCCACCCTCTGTCCCCGACCATGGAGAAAGGAGACAAACCATTTTAAGGCCATCCCACGAATTCCCATGTCAGCGAGACGGTGGGTCACTAGGTCATAATCGACCGTGTCAAATGCTACTGTCAGGCAAGCAAGAATCATGGGTGCCTTCAAGAGGGAACTGGATAAACGTATGGAGCAGAGGTCCATCAGTGGCTCTTAGCCACAAGGTATAAATAGGAACTCTCAGTCTGGGGCAAGGGATGCTCTGTAGTCTTGGTGCTTGGGGGGGGGGCAACAGTGGGAGGGCATCTGGTGTCCTGGCCCCACTGCTGGACCTCCTGATGGCACCTGGTATTTTTGGTCTTTGTGTGACACAGAGTGTTGGACTGGATGGGCCACTGGCCTGATCCAACCTTGGCTTCTCTTATGTTCTTATATGAAGCAGAAGTCCATTGGTGGCTATTAGCGACAAGGTATAGATAGGGACTCTCAGTCTGGGGCAAAGGATGCTCTGTATTCTTGGTGCTTGGGGGGGGGGCAACAGTGGGAGGGCTTCTAGTGTCCTGGCCCCACTGCTGGACCTCCTGAGGGCACCTGGTATTTTTGGCCTTTGTGTGACACAGAGTGTTGGACTGGATGGGCCACTGGCCTGATCCAACATTGGCTTCTCTTATGTTCTTAACAGCAGCGCTGACCCGCCTCGGTCCAGCTGTCTACGGAGGCGACCAATGCTGTCTCCGTCCCATAGCCAGGGCGAAAGCTGAGGTGTTCAGCTGCCGCTCTCTCAAGTACCTTACCCAGGAACGGGAGATTCAAAACTGGGCGGTAGCTGGATGGCTCAGTAGGACCCAAAGATGACTTCTTTAAGAGCAGACTCACCCCTGCTTCCTTTAAAGCCCCTGGGAAGGTCCCTGAACTCAAGGATAGATTTATAATATTCACCAGGGGGACCCGAATTCCATCTCCACTGGCTTTCACCAGTCACGATGGACATGGGTCTGGGAGGCAGGTGGTGGGCTTAACAGCACCCAGAATTTTGTCGACCTCGTCCTGGAAGAATCGGCTGAATTGGTTCATTTCTAAATCCAAAGGCGGCCAAGGGGCCTCCACAGTTCACGTACTGTATCAACAGTGGCTGGCAAGTCATGGTGGAGTGACAAGATTTTATCCGCAAAGTAGCTCGCAAAAGCCTCACAGCTAATTCCGAATTTCTAGTTTTTGAGGTTCCCTCTGAGGGACACAATGGTTTAATGTTCTTATTACCCTAAACAACTGAATTGGGCAGGAGCTAGCAGACACAATGGAAGTCACATAAAATTCTTTCTTTGCAGCTTTCACTGCCCCCTCATAAAGGTAAAGGTTCCCTTGCTCGAAAGCCAGTCGAATCCGACTCTAGGGTTGCGGTGCTCATCTCCGTTTCAAAGCCAAAGAGCCAGTGCTGTCTGAAGACATTTCCGTGGTCATGTGGCCGGCATGACTAAACACCAAGGCGCACGGAACGCTGTTCCCTTCCCACCGAAGTGGTACCTATTTATCTACTTGCAATTTCTTGCTTTCGAACTGCTAGGTTGGCAGGAGCTGGAACTAGAGACGGGAGCTCACTCCATTATGTGGCACACTCAAAGACTTTGGCCACCAAATGAGAAGGAAGCACTCGCTGGAGAAGACCCCGATGCTGGGAAAGACTGAAGGTCAAAGAAGGGGACAGCAAAGGATGAGATGGTTAGACAGTGTTATTGATGCAACGGGCATGAGGTTGTGCAAACCCCGGAGGATAGCGGAGGAAAGGAGGGCCTAGCATGATGTGGTCCATGGGGTTGCAAAGAGTTGGACTCAACTGTGCAAATGAACAACAAAAAAGGAAGGGGAACTTACAATATCACTGCCAGAAAGTGATGACACAGAAGAGGCGGATGAACCTGACGACAACTGCTGGGTACCAATGAATGACAACGGCAGACGCTGGCCATATAGCGATTCAGCATCTCTGTTCTGGACTGCAGTGCACAGAGATATCGGTTCTACCTTCTTCATCTGGATATCTGCTAGCATGGACATTCAACAGTTAGCATTGCATATAAACGCATAATCTAAAACACTAAGTTTTAGGTAGGCAACATTAGGCAGTTTACCACAAAGTGGCAATTGCACTATATGATTCAAAAAACATTGCTTAACCACGGCTTGAGGTAATGTCTGTGATAACAAATTATTGTTTGCAGTCAACCAATACAAGAGAAATGGAAACTATGGTTTGAATTAAGAAGAGATTGGATTTATACCCCGCCCTTCACTCGGAGTCTCAGAGCGGCACACAAACTCCTTTCCCTCCCCCTCCCCACAACAGACACCCTGTGAGGTAGGCGGGGCTGCGAGAGCTCTTTCGATAACTGCCCTTTCAAGGACAGCTCTGACAGAACTATGGCTTGCCCAGGGTCATCCAGCAGCTGCAAGTGGAGGAGTGGGGAATCAAACCCGGTACTCCCAGATTAGAGTCCGCACACTTAACCCCTACACCAAACTGGCTCTTAAGTTTGCAAGCCACGATTTTTCAACATTTGAAGTTACAACCCATAGTTACGGTGCCACCTCTGGAGGCCGCACCGTTCTTCAAGACTGACCTTCCTAAGCAGATGGAGAAAGAACACAAGGAGAACTGACCTCTAATGAGAGAGATATCTGAACTGAGCCACTGTGTAACACGAGAGAGTTCACTGACAGCTACTTACAAAAAGTGTAAGCAGGCGTTTTTAAATGAATCCCTCCACTCACCGACATCAGCTGACAGGTTAACTTTGCTTCCCCATTTCTTTTTAATCCAAGTTCTGTAATCAATAACTTCCTGTGTTACTTTGATGATTCTTCCTAAAGTGCTGGAAGAGAAATGTAATCCCATATTAAGGTACCTGGGCACAAACACTAAAGCATAATTTTTCTGCTTGAACAGTATTTGGTTGGAACACTTTCCCTATGAGGAAAGGTTAAGGCGCTTTGGGGCTCTTTAGCTTGGAGAAACGACGGCTGAGGGGTGACATGGTCGAGGTTTATAAGATTATGCATGGGATAGAGCAGGTAGAGAAAGAGGTATTTTTCTCCCTTTCTCACAATACAAGAACTCGTGGGCACTCCATGAAATTGCTGAGCGGTCAGGTTAGAACAGATAAAAGGAAGTACTTCTTCACCCAAAGAGTGATCAACACATGGAATTCACTGCCACAGGAGGTGGTGGTGGCTACAAGCATGGACGGCTTCAAGAGGGAATTAGATAAACTGGGGGGGGGGTCAAGAGGGGGAGGGCTTCTAGTGTTCTCCTGGCCCCACAGCTGGACCTCCTGATGGCACCTGGTATTTCTGGCCACTGTGTGATACAGAGTGTTGGACTGGATGGGCCATTGGCCTGATCCAACACTGGCTTCTCTTATGCTCCTATGTTCTTGTGTTCACTGATTCATGGAGGGATGGCTGCAACCAAGATGCCTCTTTAGATGTGCAAAGAGCCTTGTGTGTCCTTCAGGGTGCTTTTGTCAGCTCCCCACCACTTGTCTTGGGCTGTATTAAAAGGTAAATATACAGGTTTCCCTTGCTTGAAAGCTAGTCGAAGCCGACTCTAGGGGGCGGTGCTCATCTCTGTTTCCAAGCTGAAGAGCCAGTGCTGTCCGAAGACTTCTCCGTGGCCATGTGGCCGGCATGACTAGACACCAAGGTGCACGGAACAGTGTTACCTTCCCACTGAAGCGGTACCCATTTATCTACTTGCAACTTCTTGCTTTCGAACTGCTAGGTTGGCAGGAGCTGGAACTAGAGACGGGAGCTCACTCAGTCACATGGCACTCAGGTCTCGAACTGCAGACCTACAGACCTTCTGGTCTGCAGCTCAGCGTCTTAACCTCTGAGGCTGTATTACAAAGCCCAAAAAGATTTTAACAGCCAGTGCATAATGTGGAATGGAAAACCTGCCCAATCCAGTCATGAAGTTCTCTGGGTGCAGCGCAGCACCTTGCTGCCATCAGTTACAGAACCCAGTTAAAAGGACCATTAGGGCAGAAGTGCAAAGTCGAGCCAGTGCATGTTCCCTAAGCAATGGACAATACCAACACAGAGTAACTGGTTACCTTTCAGAATCTCTGTTAGGATATGATCTTGCAAGCGGAGACACGGCGTGGCTAAGTACAATGTAAGCGTAATCGAAAACTTGCTTTACTTGCATGGCACCGTAAGAACTTCTGCCAACATCATTGCCTGTAACAATTAAATGGAAACACAGATAAGCTTCATCGACAGCCGTCTTTCATTCTGGCCGCTGGCCATTAATGCTTACTTCTGTGTTCGTAATTCCAGGGGGACAGCCATGTTCGTCTGTGGCAGCAAAAACAAACGGGTTTTGTGGCACCTCAAAGACTAGCAGCATCTTTAGTTCAACGTGTTGCGGAGGACAGCCCGCAAAAAGCTAATCCTGGAATTGAGTTTTATTAGTCTCTGAGAGCCACAGATTACTTCTTTGGGTTGTTGCCATTGATTCTACATTAAAACTTGAAGCATACAGCACAGGGAGCGGAAATGGGCTTGCTTCCTCCACATAGGTGATCCCCCCCACACACACATATACCCAGGCACTGATTAGCACTTGGCTCCCATCTGCTGTTTGCCAGACACTACTGTTGACCTACGCAAACATACCATTTAACAGTTATTTCATTTTCCTCAATGCCTCCTGGAAATAAGAGAACTCTGCTTATTCAGCAGAAGATCACATCACATCACAGAACATCATCACTATTCAGACCCTGAGGCATAAAATCCAACCGTTCCCAACTGGGACAAGAGAGGCTATGCTGTAAAGTCGCGGCGGCTGACTTATGGCGACCCTGCAGGGTTTTCAAAGCAAGGGACTAACAGAAGAGGTTAGTTTGGTGTCGTGGTTAAGTGTGCGGACTCTAATCTGGGAGAACCGGGTTTGATTCCCCACTCCTCTACTTGTACCTGCTGATGTGACCTTGGGTCAGTCACAAGCTCTGGCACAGCTGTCCTTGAAAAAGAGCAGTTTCTGTCAAGAGCTCTCTCAGCCCCACCCACCTCCCAGGGTGTCTGTTGTGGGGAGGGGAAGGAGTTTGTAAGCCGCTCTGAGACTCCTCTGGGTAGTGAAGGGCGGGGTATAAATCCAATCTATTATTATTATTATTGAAAGAGCTCTCTCAGCCCCACCCCCCTCCCAGGGTGTCTGTTGTGGGGAGGGGAAGGAGTTTGTAAGCCGCTCTGAGACTCCTCTGGGTAGTGAAGGGCGGGGTATAAATCCAATCTATTATTATTATTATTGAAAGAGCTCTCTCAGCCCCACCCCCCTCCCAGGGTGTCTGTTGTGGGGAGGGGAAGGGGAAGGGGTTTGTAAGCCGCTCTGAGACACCTTTGGGTAGTGAAGGGCCATGGGGTATAAATCCAATCTCTTCTTCTCTTCTCCTTCTCCAGAACAACCCTGGACTTCTTTCGTGGTCACCCATCCAAATACTAACCAAATACTACCAAACATTTTTGTATTCTACCTTTTATATCAGTGATGAATATTCAACGGTACAACACCGTATCAAGAATTCCAGTGTGCCCACAGTGGGGACAGGGCAAAGAAGAAGAGATGGCTTTTATAACCTGCTTTTCTCTACCCTAAGGAGGCTCAAAGTGGCTTACAATGGCCTTCCCTTTGCCTCACCACAACAGGCACCTCTCTCGGATGGGGCTGAGAGAGTTCTGAGGGAACCGTGACTGCCCCAAGGTCACCCAGCAGGCTTCCTGTGGAGGAGGAGTGGGGAATCGAACCCAGCTCTCCAGACCTGGGTCCACCGCTCTTAACCACTACACTATGGATTCTGATTCTGTAAAGAAGTCAGAAACTGAGGCAAGTTAAAGGGGTTGTTTCGAGGTAACTATTTAAAAACAAGTGCCAGGAGCAGTGTTCCCTCTAAGCTGTAGAGTCCTGTGAGCAAAAATTCTACTGTGTGAGCTCCTGGCATTAAAGTTGTGAGCAGGCAATTTGGCTACTGCATGAATTAGTGTGTTCTGGAGCCCTCCTTCCTGAGCTGAGACAAAAATGTGTGAGCCGGAGGCTAAAAAACTGTGAGCTAGCTCACACTAACTCAGCTTAGAGGGAACACTGGCCAGAAGTATATTCTGAAACCTTTCTTCAGACACCTTCAAGCTCAGTGCAAAATCAGCTTTCTTAATGAAAAACATGCCCGTGATATCCGTTCTCTCACCAGGCAAGAGAGGATCTTCGATACACAACATGGATGGGCGATAACCGTAAGTCATGGCTTTCAGAATTTCTTCTTTGGCGATATAGGCACCTCCATTTTTTATCCTAATACCAGTTTTCAAGTAATTAAAATTCCTTCCATAGAGTTCAAAAAATTCTATTAGAAGCATTCCGAGATTTTCATCTGATCTCCTAGCATCGATTCGCGGGTGCAACTGCAAAACAAACAAAAAAAGGTCTTATAGCATTTGGGGGACAACCGTTTATATATCTGCCAGTCTGTTGACAGTACAGGATGATGGTTAAGAGAGCTCGACTATAAAGAGAACTGGGTTCGAATCCCACCTTCACCACAAAATTTACTAGTATCTGTGAGGACCATAGATCCTGCCCTAACTCCATGGAAGAAGAGTGTGTGTGGGGGGGATGGATATACCTAATAAAGGCCCCGGCCACACGGAGCATTTGCCGTGCTAAAGATACGGATGATAGGCGGAGTTTTCTGGGCGCGATCACACCGCAACATCTGGGAAGCGTAGTGCTCCCGTGGCTATCCTGTGGCTTCCCGCCGAAGATGCGGAGTAAAAAACTAGTACTTACGAGGTACCGGTTTCCGGACACCGCGGGGCAAGGGCGGGCGTCTGTTCGCGTTTCCGGTGGAATCCCGTGGCATCCGGCGCCCGCCGATGTTCCGTCGCAAACAAGGGGTTCCCCCCCCCAGTCTCTGCAGGATGCACAAACGTGCCCAACGGCGCATGCGCACAAACTTCGGTTAAAAAAACCACCCATTTGCCATGGAAGCGGCGCCTAGCGATTGGTGTGATCATGCCGCGCCGCTTCTTTGCCGCGCTGCAGGATAGCCGTGTGATCGGCACCTCACCCCCTAACCACGGGACCTCGACGGGACGTGTGATCGGGCGGCCGCGTGTTATTTTGCTCTGGGGCAAACAGCCATGCTCCCCCCCCCCCATTTTCCGGCCCGTGTGACTGGGACCAAAGACAAACAAGATAATGGTTACAGATAGAACTGGGTCATAGCTACCGAACTACCAATAATCTGTCATTTTTCTTAATGTCCCTTAACAGCCTCTCCTCATATTACAAAAGCGAGGGCTCTTACCAGCGTACTGCGTTTCAGAATGCTGTCGCATTACTTTTCTAGCAAATTACATGTTAGCTATATTTAGGCAGAGGAAGGCCCTTAAGGAAAAGAGAAATGTTACAGGCAGGAGAGGCAGGAGACAGGCTGGTCAGATGTTACGCAGCACTGCTTATTTGTACTGCTACAGCCAAAGCAGAGAGTTTTATCACTCCGATACAAAAGCAAGAATGTGAACAATAGTTTCAATTTACATAGAAGTTTCGGTGGGAAGGGAACAGCGTTCCGTGCGCCTCGGTGTTTAGTCATGCCGGGCACATGACCACAGAAATGTCTTCGGACAGCGCTGGATGAGCACCGCAACCCTTGAGTCGGACTCGACTGGCTTTCAAGCAAGGGAACCTTTATCTTTTTTACACTTGTGCAAAATTATTTTAAAAACCCTCTCTAGGTTATTTTGGAGGGCATAACTGTTCCAAGTAAAAAATGTGAATAACGGTGACTGAGTCAGAGCAGGTGGAAGGAACAATCCCATGTATGGGACGCCTTCTTCCAGTAACTGAGAAAAGCTATTTCTAAGCTTTTCACTAGGGAGGAAATTCTCTGTGGCTCAAGGATACTATTCCACGGGGAATTGTTAGAGTCACGGTAGGCAGTCTGGCTTAATGAATTAGATAAACTCATTTATAAAGCAGCAGATGTGCTGGATACAAACTTGTCAATTGCAGCCACGTGAAAATGTAGGTAATATCAGGCTGTACAGATGAAACGCCATCATGCTGTGTGATTTTAACCACCCACAAAACAGTTGCCCAAGGAGGGAGCTCTACAAGACCAATCTTCACTCTCCACATTGTGTGTACATCTGTTCTTTCATCTTGACCCCGTTTCTACGTAGTCTTTTGTTTCTGTGCTGAGCAGGCGGGACAAGGGACTATAAGACAGATCTGTAGCTGATATAACAGGGGGCCCCTAATGCTTTTCAGCCTAGTGGCACCTTTCTGACAAGGTGGTGGGCACAACTATAACATGGCTGCCACACACAGAGGGGACAAGAGCAGCAGTTTTAAAAATACACTGGGAAAGAGGGGTGATGTCAAAATCACTGTGCATTTTGCATTTTACAGCTCCTTTGCCATGGTGACTGGGAGGGGGATGGAAGAGTGTGAAACCTGAATGCTTTCGTTTTCCAAAGATGCTTTGATGTATGTTATCTCTCCTGCTTTCCTGAGAACCTCTTATGGCCTTGAGTCTCAAATTTCTGTGCTGGCTTTTGTCTGACATGTTGGGGGGATGGCACTAGATGGGGGGATGGATGGCAGTAACATTTGGTGGGTGAAATCCCATGGGGTGATTGGTTCTGAACCTTTGAGGGCCCTTGCTTGAACCCTGTATATCTATTGTTTTTGTGCCTTTAAGCTCAGTTCTAACACAGCCAACGTATAGGCTAGATCCTATCAATGTCTCAATAAACTTATCCTTCTTCGAAGTGAATGTTGTTGAGAACTGATTTACCCAGAGGTCTGACAGGTGAGAGAATAAAATCCACATTATGGTGGCAGCTACTGCTGAAACAAGGTTATTTTAATTTGCACAGCCAATCACATCCCCAATGGCCAATCAGAAGCCCTGCTGGCCAGGAGCCCCACCCACATTCTAAAAATACCCGGTGGGGAGGTGTTGGTGGCTACCATGGTGCCCACGGGGAACCAGCCTTAAGACTTGTACAGCTAAATAAACAGGAGCAGCCCAGTTAACTCCTACACAGGATTCTCTAGAAGGGTAAAGAATAGGATTGCCAGACCCCCCTGGTGGAGGCAAAGGCCCCCTGCTAACCAGCCCCACCTTCCCGCCGCTGATCAGCTGGCTGACCGGGGGGGGGGGGCTTACTCTGAAAAAGAGGGAGATTCATCCAATGTGCAACAATGTGTCTACACTGTTGCCCATGTGACTAGGAAGTGATGTCATCATATCCAGGAAGTCGGGGTGACGCTATGGTATTATGGCAAAATGTATATGGTAGAAGCCAAATTTACCAGTTTTTTTGCCCAAACATCACTTCTGGGTCATGACGTCACTTCCGGGTCATGTGAGCAGTGATGGAGACATACCGCTGTGTGTCAGGTGGGCCATCCTGCTGCCCCCAGTAAGTCTCCTCCTGCCCCGCCAGTTGCCAGGAAGGGACCTGGGCAGCCCTAGGGAAGAGTCAACGTTAGCAGAAAAGGACTTACCTGCAAGAAGCTAATTGCCATTAAAATTAGGCTGTAAGAACTAATTCCACCAGTAAAAACTTCATTCAAATCCCTCTGAAGGAGAAACTGTTTTAGTACTAAAATCAAGTACGGCAGCAACGAGTATTTCTGCAAATGAAAAGAAAAAAGCATTCTGTAAGCGAAGTTAAGCAGAATGTAGCTCTTCTATTAGCACCAAATAATCTTGTGAAATTTTATTATCTACTGACTCTGTTACAGATTGAACGTGGAGCATTAAGGATTTCATATCGAAACAGAAGTTTTTACACACTGCTAGATACATGGTACCTAACTGGATGCTGGTTAATGTGGTGTAAACAAGCCATAGATATCCTTCACAGGCTTAGGGGTGACAAAACCATATATGTGAAGGACTTTCATATATGAAAATATGAATTTCTGTTCATATATAATAAAACACAAATATTCACAATCACTGACGACTCTACACCAAGGCATTGAAGCAACCACCAAGCAAAGAACCATAAACAAACCTATGCACTGTCTTTCTGTATGCAAGCATCACCAGACCTTAGAAAGGTCTACAAAGATGAACACTTCTTTTCTTTGAAAAACGGAGAACCAGAATGTCATGCAAGACCTTTTTGACCAGCGATGTATGAACTCTCAAGCAGTAATCTAATCACATGAAGGACACTGGTGTGGTGTGGGGGGGGGGGGGAGATGCATGCTTTTTGCAAGCCAATTTAGATTAAATATTCAACACATGTACATGCACACTGTACATGCAACACATGTACCTGCACACTGCCCCTTGGGAATTTTACACCTACCCTGACTGAGAATACACTTACAGCTTAATTTACACATGTAATCCCTGCTGTGGCACATGTGCAGGGAAAGACCTGCATCGCCTAGATGGCCATGCAACATTCTATATGTCATAACTGGCTGCCAGATGCCCATAAGGATCATTTGCCATGCAGCACAGGTCCTACTGTAGAAAAAGCAGCAGCTGCTGTGACGTCAGCGTCACTTCAAGCCAATCTGCATCTGAGCAAGGCTGTCTGTGTTACTGGGGGTCAGCTCCTGTTGTTTCTGCCCAGCAACTTCCATTAATCAGGACTTCTCAGTCAATCAAGTAAGTTCCCTTTTTGGAACAAAAGTTGCCTTTTGATATTTTTTTTTCTTTTTAGCATGGACGGCTTCAAGAGGGAACTGGATAAACATATGGAGCTGGGGTCCATCAGTGGCTATTAGCCACAAGGTATAGGTAGGAACTCTCAGTCTGGGGCAAGGGATGCTCTGTATTCTTGGTGCTTGGGGGGGGCAACAGTGGGAGGGCTTCTAGTGTCCTGGCCCCACTGCTGGACCTCCTAGTGGCCCCTGGTATTTCTGGCCACTGTGTGACAGAGTGTTGGACTGGATGGGCCACTGGCCTGATCCAACATTGCCCTCTCTTATGCTCTTAAGGATGCTGTAATCCACCTTGAGTCTCAGCGACAAAGGCAAGCTACAGTTAAAGGACCATCCCTCCTAACAAAGATCCTAGACGCACATTTTAGCATCTTTGGCCGAAGGGTTTTGCTCTCACAAGCCTCCACACTGGACAGCTCAGCGCTCCTTCCAACCTCCCATATTCACATAAGGTAACTACAATTGCATCTATGTCATATGTCATATGACAGTGTCATAGATGCAACGAACATGAAATTGAGCAAACTTCAGAGGATGGCGGAAGACAGGAAGGCCTGGCGGGATCTGGTCCATGGGGTCGCGAAGAGTCGGACTCGACTGTGCGACTGAACAACAACAACAAACTACAATTGCCCCTAACACCGCCTCCTCCTCCCTGCCCCCAACACCTCCCTCTTCTTCTTCTGTTGACCGTACCTTCATGTAGTCTTTGATAAGTCGAGCTGCCTTCACACCGGTCTCCACATTAAAACTAATGTCAACTTTTACTTCTGTTTCCTGGTCAGTGAGCTTTATTATTGGTACCTGCAACGACAGTTAAACCAGTCAAGTCAACCAATCCCAACAAGCAGACATTTTTCAGCAGGGAGGTTTTTCAGCCGCTGATCGACTGAAGTAATGAAGCCGCTAAAATGGTTATTTGTTCCAGAACCTAGAGAGAGATCCAAGCACAACTCACTAGGGAACCTGAAACCACCCCACTACGCTTAATCGCACACTGATTTAGGCCAGCCTTAGGAACAATCATCCAGGGACTTGTTGCCCATTCCCTGCTCCCTCCAGATGGACTCCCCTCTCCCCGTGCCAGTTCCACTGTGGCCAGCACTGTTTCTTGCTAAACAAGGTGACCTGAACCAGCAGCAATGATAGTTTTATAGGTGAAGGGGCCCGTGTGACTCTTGTCTAGCTTTAACGTCAAAAGAATGGTGAGGCCTTAACATGCAATGTTGTGCTTCATCACAGTGCGTTCCTTTGGGAGAGGAAGGCTTCTGAGGAAGAGTTATGGCCTCTAAGACAGTGCAGTCACACACTCCACAATCACTCCCCCCCCAAGGAATTCCCTCCCACCAGCATGCATGGCAAACTGAGCAGAGCGATGTTTGACAGAAAGCATGTACCTGATCTCCCTGGCGGAAGGAGTCAATACAAAGTTTAATAAACTGGTGATGGGGGTGGGAAGAACCTGAAAGCAGACTGCATTTGGGCCAGGGAAAAGTTTTGGAAGCGTCAAACATTTTGTTTTAGTAGCTACATTAGAGAAGATCCTTATACCAAACACATGCCGTGCTCCATGCCTCTGTGGGAAGTTACTGGTTGGTAACAGCATGGCACACATGCCACATCTGTAAGCCCAGAGTTGTAAGTTGAGTTTATTTCCTTTGATGGTTTTATCAACTCCAAAAGAAGCCAACGCTCTAATATATAAGTGCCTGACATATTGGTTTCTGCTGCTGTGATGGGCAAAGAAGTTGATTGGGGAACAGACTCCCCAGTAATTCCTGACAATGGAAAATAAACAGGTACGAATAAGGATAGACAAACATGCCGGTTGTCATTTGTTTTGGCATGCCGTCTCTGTGAGCCTTTTTGCTTCACAGGTGATTAGTTTTATATTCTCAGCAAGCTGCCAATGTTTTGTTTTTCATTCTGTATATGTGTGTGCGCTTGCCTCTTTCACTGTAGAATCGTAGCTGTGCATGTCTATGTAGCTCGCCAAAACAATTATCTAGCTCAAGGCCACAGGTGGATGCAAGAGCTTGTTAGTGTAGAGAAGCTCTCACTAAACACCGTAAGAAGAAGATAGCGTGAGAGGCTTGAGGCCGTTAGTTCTCAGGCCCAAGGGCATGCGCGGGAACCCCTGCAATTGGCCCGTAGTAGTTTGAATGTTTATTATATGCTTTGCCATTGCTTTTACCCCTCATTCTGAACGGTGATCCTGTTATGCACCTTCAGCTCTAATAAAGTTACCTTTTCTTCAAAAGCGTGCTTATTACGATGCGAGGAGGAGTCTGACATATATGCAGCGTTATGCCAAAACAGGCATGCTTGTATTGACTTTTGTTTTTATGGCCGTGGAAAAAGGTAGGGAGAAAACAGAAAAAATGGATATAAAAAAAAAGATTGAAATGTTGTGTTAAATTTTATTTGCTTTTTATATCTGTATAATAAAATGTTTAAAAAAAAGAAAAAGAAAAAAGAAACTGGAACTTTTGCACCGAAACGATGTGTACATGAAATCTGAAAACACCCCCTAAGAAGAGCCTTCCTCTACTAGGTTTTTTTGTCGCTTTTTCTGGTATTCAGCACCACCCCCACTTTTGAAGCACCTATTTGAAATAACAAATAAATCTCAATGTATTTGACCACCCGAGATTTGGACATGGGAAGCATCAGGCCTTTGATGCAGTCCACGCACATCCACAGCGTTACCGCCAAGCAAGCGCATTTAAGACTGCAGCACCCAACACCACCCGCTCATTTATAGCAATGCCGTAGTCTAAAAACAGCAGGTGTATCTGCTTACTGAGAGCTCAAGTGACCGACTGAGCTTTTCAACTCTTAGCAGCTAGTGGTATCAAAGACTGAAAGAAAACAGGGAAGCACATCAGCGTAGCTTTTCAACTAGAATCGGGCACGAAAGCAAGCACCAAAGCCCCCAAGCATACCATGAAACTAAAAAGGCAGCCTGAAAACTAGACGCTGTACAGAAACGTACATTCTGATGCAAGTCTCCATTAGAGAGCATGACTCATAAACTAAAGGGAGCGGAGCGTGTTCCCAGAAGAATCATCAAATGTCAGCAGCGCGGAAGTTCGGGACGGCAGATACACGGAACGCTTTTTCCCAGTGTGGCTGTCGGGGCCAGACCGTGGGCATTTAAAACGAAGTAAAAACTAAAGAAAACAAACATTCTTCCACACAGTACCCTGGGATCGAGTAGGAGGCGGTGGAGCCTCGGGACAGCCCGAGGGAGGCAAGGAGGAGAAGTCAGGACAGGGGCCCGTGTGTAACTAAGGAGCACGGGGTGTGTGTGAATGCCACTAGGAGCCTCCTCAAGGGCTCAGGTTGTCTTGGGAGTAGATACCTCCCTGGGAGTAAAGGCCTGCTCAGTTGTAGCCCAGGAAAGCCAGGGAGTGAGCACAGTGGTGGGGGGGGGGACGGCGACCGAGATCAGGAAGGAGCAGGGGTCATTTCCTGCAGGAGCGCACAGGAGCGGAGCTCCGGCAGTAAAGAGCCCAGGGGGTGGGCACATGCAACAAGCCCCACCCCCTGCTCCCAGCAGCCCTCAGTCAGAGCAAGAAGCAACCAGGGAAGCTGCAGAGCCCCCCCCGCCCCCCCCCGGTCTAAAACAGTCCAGTGGCACCTTTAAGACCAAGTTTTATTCAGGTACAAGCTCTCCCTCCTCTGCGAGGGCAGATCTGCACGTTTCCCCCCCCCCCAATAGCTAGCAATCCAAAAGAGTCCAGTGGAGCCTGAGCGGTGGGTGTTGCCTTCTGACACACTTCTGGTGATGTCAGGGGGTGTGGCATATGCAAATAAGTTATGCTAATGAGTTATGCGAATGAGCTCCTGCACCTCTTTTTCTACGAAATGACCCCTGGGAAGGAGGGAGGGAAGAGAGACAGCAGGCTGGTAAGGGCGGGAAGCCAGGGCTGAGGAAAGCAGCGGGCTCCACCCGAGGAGCGCTGGGGCCTCGCTGCCTCTCAGCCGAATCCTGTAATGGGAGGCTACAACAGAAGGGTCCTGGCAGATGCAGTCAAGGACACGTGGACCTGCCTTGACCGTAACCTGGCCCTTGAGGCCAGGACTCTGACGGAGCTCACTTGTGATGACGAACGAACCAGAACCGCGGTTATCCTCCTGGTTTCCGCTTGTCATTGGAGAGGCCAGAGGAGGAAAGAACGCCCAAGTGGGGGAGAAGTAGCCCCGGGACCTGAACGCCTCGAGACCAGGATATCTAAAGGAGAACCAGCTCCGACATACTCCTGCCTGTCAAGCAAGGTCTACCAGAGATCCTGCTTTATCTGCCACCTGCATCCTTAGCGGAAGTGAGGCAGACCACAGCGAGAAGCAAGGCCTTCTGGGCCGTGGCACCGCGGTTGTGGACACCACCACCTCAGGCGCTTGCCTGATGATGACGCTTGCGAGTTTCCAGCTTCAGATGAAAATGTATTTGTTCGTCACCTTTTTAGTTAAATTTTTAATTAAAAATGGGGGGGGGGTTGTTTTTTGTATTTTGTTTATTACGTAATTTATACCCTAGTTTTCATTAGTTAGGAGCTGCGGTGTCTCAAGTGGTTAAGACGCTGAACTGCAGGCTGTGGAAGGTCGGTAGTTCAGCAGTTCGAGACCCGGGTGTACCGCATGACGGAGTGAGCTCCCGTCTCTAGTTCCAGCTCCTGCCAACCTAGCAGTTCGAAAGCAAGACATTGCAAGTAGATAAATAGGTACCGCTTCGGTGGGAAGGTAACAGCGTTCCGTGCACCTTGGTGTTTAGACATGCCGGCCAAATGACCACGGAAACGTCTTTGGACAGCGCTGGCTCTTCGGCTTTGAAACGGAGATGAGCACCGCAACCCTAGAGTCGGACTCGACTGGCTTTCGAGCAAGGGAGACCTTTACCTTTACCTTTCATTAGTTAGTTCTGCTCCGCTAATATTTTTATTGCTCCATTGCCTAATGTAGGCTGATGAGGTGTGTTCTTTGCCTCTGTTGTGGTTTTTGAGATGAACTTCCATACTGCATTAAAAAAAAATCGGTTGTGAACTGAGGAAGCTTTGGGCTGAGGAGTGGAATAGAAATTTTCATTCATGAAGAAACAAAAATTATTTCGAAGAAACCTACAGGTGACCAGAGATTGTATGCTCAAGATGGGAACTGGTAAGAAAATATCATGAAGGAAACAAAAAACTAAGTTTCCAAAAAGAAAGGCAGTCCTTTAAGGAGAAATTAACAAAGATACAATTGCAAGCTATGGAAGTATAAGGATAGAGAGAGCTAGAGATGTGAAGGCCCGGAAAAAAAACGGAAAAATTCGGGGGGAAACCTTTTTTTCCTGAAGCCTTTTAATTTTTTTCCAAAAAATTGGAAAAATTGAAAAAAGGGAAAAAAAGGAAAAAATTGATTATGGAACGTTTTATTTTAACATGATGAATAAAATATTTTAAGACAAGGTGTTCCTTTCGGAGGTGCGATTGTCAGAAGAAAATAAAACAGTTTCAGTTTTGTTTTTGCATGTGGGTGGGTATTCTGTTTGAAATAATTGTTTGGATACACTATATTTTTAATATGCTCGTTGTGATAATTTCATGCCAAGTAAAAATGTCCATAGTCATATTTTATGTTCCTAAAGTAACAGAATGACTTTCAATCGAGAAAAGACAAAAGAAATGCTAATGTGGCATTTTTCTCTATTTTTCCGAAAATTTCCGTTTTTTTCCGGGAAAAAAAACGGGAAAAAACCAGGGGGTTTTCCGAGCTTCAAAATTTCCGGAAATTTTACATCTCTAGAGAGAGCTATAAGAAAAATGGCTATATAGAGATGCTACAGATCTGCAAGGGACACACGTCTACAACTGTTACTGAACAATGTATTCGAAGCCTCTAACTTGAGCTTAGAAGATTCGGTTATCAGGTAGACATCTACTCAGGGTTCACATAAAAGACCTGAGGTGGCCAAAACAACACGTGAAACTGCCTTATACTGAATCAGAGAGTCAGCTACGAAATAACTGGCAGCGGCTCTCCAAGGTTTCATATCACATACCGCCAGATCTTTTAACTGGAGATACTGGGGATCGAACCTGGGACCTTCTGCCTGCCAAGCAGATGCTCTACCACTGAGCCACAGCCCCTCCCACAAGCATAACTCTTCATGTGTGAGGAAAAGGAGATCAAGAGCTACAAAACTGATGCTGATAAATAGTATAACAATCACACTTCAAATAATTTCAGTTAAATGCTACGGGACGGAGCCATCAAACTGAAAGCCATTCCTGCTACTGTCCGAACATCACTTCTTCCCACCAAAGGTTGGGGGAACATTGGGAAATGCATGGGGAATGCTGTCACTTCTGGGAGAAATTCTACACATTTCCCTCCCTGGTGCAAGGGAGACCGCTTCTGCTTACTGTAGGTTTCAGGCAACGATAAAGGGAGGATGCATTCCAGCTTGTGAAAAGACAATTATTTCATAAACAAGGAGCCCTAAATTAAACAGCTGGACTATAAGGAAGGCCGAGCGCCGAAGAATAGATTATTTTGAACTATGGTGCTTGAGAGTCCCTTGGACTGCAAGATCAAATCAGTCAATCCTAAAAGAAATCAACCCTGACTGTTCCCTGGAAGGCCAGATAATGAAACTGAAGCTCAACTACTTTGGCCACCCAATGAGAAGGGAGCACTCACTGGAGAAGACCCTGATGCTGGGAAAGATTGAAGGTCAAAGAAGACGGGGACGGCAAAGGATGAGATGGTTAGACAGTGTCATAGATGCAACGAACATGAGATTGAGCCAACTTCAGAGGATGGCGGAAGACAGGAGGGCCTGGTGGGATCTGGTCCATGGGGTCGCGAAGAGTCGGACTCGACTGTGCGACTGAACAACAAAAAATTAAACAGCACTGGCTCTAAAGCTAAAGTAACCTGTATACGCAAAAGCTTCTTAGCATTCAAATACGGCTGTTACAAACTGAAATCAAACCAGTCAGACCTTGGACCCCGCACCCTTCAAACTGTTACAGCCAAATAATTTTACCAAAACAAAAAGACTGAGCACAAACAAACAGCTGCATTATAAGAACGGTTTACGCTAAATGCCGTTCCTTTTCTGGGCTATTACTTTAAGGCAAGCACAGTTCATTTCCCTACTTACCGTAGCTTTGTCAAGTACTTTAATTGAATATGGCTCAGCCACATTGTGTTTCCTTAGTGCTTGTTCTAGCAGCTGTAGAGGGGGGCTCTCCCATTTCCCGAAAACCACTAAATCAATATCACTATGGAGAATTAAAAACATGCACACAGAATTTAATTAAAAACTTTACATAAGAGGAAACTTTCACTTAATTACTGGCTGGAAGAGTTAAATCCAGTCTTTGGCCTACTGATTTTGCCAGTTGTTACAAATGAAAGGCTCCTACATACAGTTTAACATGCACAAAACAACAAGCTATACAGACATGTCAGAATCTTAACCAAGGGTAATTTGCTCAGCTATGGCTTGGGAAAAAGCAAACATATGACCTCAATTCAATTCAATTCAATTCAAATACCTTTTATTGGCATACAATATTAGAAGTATTTACCAATAATACAATCCAAAAGAAATTATAAAATAGATAGTCCTGGCTATGTCAGGCCTAACTCAAGTTGTCACAAGCTAGATTTGACCATACAAAAGATGCCTGAATCATAAAATAAATTGGCATTCTAAACTTTTAAACTTAAGTTTTTAGACTTATAAATTAAGAATCATGAATATGATCAGGGTCACTCTTCCGCTTTATAAAACCATGGAGAAACTTAGCGGTCAGTTCAATGATCTCCGGATCTCGTGAAGCAAGGAGAAATTGTACCTTGATTCTATCCAATTGGCCTGCTACCAACCTAAGGGGGGCTTCTATAAATTCCACTCGAATGTCATTTAACAATTTACAGTGTAAGAGTACGTGCTCAACAGTTTCTATTTCTCTTCTATTACATCCACAGAACCTGACTGAATAAGGAATTTGCTTATATCTCCCCTCAAGAATAGCAGAGGGGAGAACATTAAGACGGTCCAACAGATAAGCTCTACACATTTGCGGTGAAGTCAGGCAGAAAAAGTAATATGGTAGAGTACCAGAAAGGGGATAGGCCGACCTTACTGAGGAGCACCTTCCGGAGACAAGGGTTCTGAGCTCTTGCAACTCTATATCAATAAGCCTCTGTTTAAGCAGAGTAAAGACCTCAAGCTCTGACCGGATGACAAGGTCACTCAGGTTAAAACCAATAGAAGTGATTTTCTTTTCAATAGCCATAAGCCACGCAGAGGATTGAGATTCTTCCAGCATATAGGTGATAAGGCTATTGTGGTTACATCTAAAATGCAGACGTAGCCAAAATCTGAAAGCAATAATCCAGGCCTTGGCCTCTAACCGTCTCAAATTAAGCTCCAGACAAATGGCAGCATAAGATACGCACGAGGGCAACCCCAGAATCTTCCTCAGGGATTTGGATTGTAGTTGTTCAACTGCTTTCAAACGTATGGCCTTTGGCACACAGGGCTAGATCCAGTCGTTCGTTTCCACTGGAGGGAAGATCAGTACAGGAATCACAAGGCACACGATCCCTCCTCAGTTGGTAGAAGGGAATCGCTGGAATATAACCACTGGCTTGGATCCTACAAGGCCCATTTGTGAAGGAGAACTCGGGGGGGGGGGGAGACTTTCACCTCTCCCTCCCACAGCAGGTCTATGAGCCCCCAAGATTTTGTTCCTGGAGGGCAGGGCACCCTGTACAACGCAGAGCGTGAAACAAACGCATGCACTGAGAAGGATGAATCAACAGGGATTGCCTCCTTCCACGAACAGAAGTGCCTTTCCATTCCCAAAAAATGGACTACAGGTCTGAGCCATTATGTTTTCAATAGGTCTAGTGGTTATCGATAACCTTCTTTCTGCAATTATAAACATACACAAGCTTTGAGAGCCAGTTTGGTGTAGTGGTTAAGTGCGTGGACTCTAATCTGGGAGAGCCGGGTTTGATTCCCCACTCCTCCACTTGCACCTGGTTGGATGACCTTGGGCAAGCTGTAGTTCTGATAAGAGCTGTTCTTGAAAAAGAGCAGTCTCTGTGAAGAGCTCTCTCAGCCCCACCCACCTCACAGGGTGTCTGTTGTGGGGAGGGGAAGGGAAAGGAGTCTGTAAGCCGCTCTGAGACACCTTTGGGTTGTGAAGGGCGGGATATAAATCCAATCTCTTCTTCTTCTTAAGTCATAAGAATTAACAACAAGTCTCCTGCTCTGTGTGCACACGGATGTATAATTTGCAATCCTACAAAGTTCGCTATATTAGAATTTCTACCGGCACTGTAGCACTATGATGCGCTTAATTTTTCATAAAGAAAAGCCACTGACGACTAAGTGTTCTCATTTTTGATGCACAACAGCATACCCCTTATTATGTATAGCATTTGTTCTACATGGAAAATCTGAGTATTTCATCTTTACATGCTAACGCTGAGGATTCAGTGTCCCATATAACTCAGGTTAATTTCAATACCAAATTTAAGTATTTGCTAAATCTTGCAAAATCCAAAAATGGACATTTGATGGAAAAGAAATGGAGCAGGTCAAGCATGTTAAATATCTAGGTGTCTATTTCAGTGATAACATGTCCTGGTCATGTCATCGCAAATCTATGACTAATTTAGCCACCATTAATACACCAGCCATCGCACGGTTCTTCTTTAATAGAGGCAACCAGTTCGTTCCAGCTGCCTTAAAAGTTTTTAAGGCCAAAGTGATCCCGCAGCTATTGTATGGCATCCCAATATGGATAGGTGCCCTTGAGATGGGACTTGAAAGAGTTCAATCTAAATTTGCAAGGAAAATCATGGGTCTGCCACGCTGCATTCCATACGCAGCTCTCTGTTTAGAAACAGGCCTTAACTTGATAGAAACAAGGGCATGGCTTATATCAATCAAATACTGGCTAGTGAGCGAGTGATTTGGTGCCTGCATCAATCAGTTTGCTCTAGAGCCCTCCTTCCTGAGCGAAGGCAAAAATCTCTGAGCCGGAGGCTGAAAAACTGTGAGCTGGCTCACACCAGCTCAGCTTAGGGGGAACTCTGCTGGCTACGTATGCACTACACTGCCGACAAGGGGAGCTACAGATACCAAATGCTGTCTGAATCTACCTGATCTAAATGGAATGCTTACATAGTGAAGAAAATAATCACAATGGGTCTATCCATGGATTCTCTGTATATGTTATCTTTCACAAATGCATATCAGTTAATTAAAAGTAGAATCCTGGATATAGAAATAGTTAGCGATGCAAACAAAGCCTGCTCCCCCTTGAATTTCGGAATCCTTCCAACTATTGGCCATCTGCCTTCGTACTTATATCAGCCCTTCACGCTCCACAATTGCGCCGAGCATTTGCACTTGCTAGATGCAATACCCTTCCATCTGCTGTTACCTATGGTAGATATAAAGGGATTCCATACTCAGCTAGACACTGTGCGTGTAATCAAAACCAAGTTGACTCGGTTTCCCATATTCTCCTACACTGTCCCCAATATGATGAGATCCGTCTTACCTTTTTAGATCCAATCTTATTTAATACGATAGGCTGTCCAGACGCTTTTAAGGCGCGCTACCTCTTGAACGATTTGTCACCCGAAATAACTGAAAACGTAGCCTCTTTTTTAAGTTTGGTAAATCAAGGACCATCTGCACAATGTATAGATGCATATGATTGATTCATTTCTCCTTGTTACCTATTTATCCACTTTTGTTTCTTCCTGTAACCTAACATATGCCAATAAAGGTCTGTGTATGTGTGTATGTAAATACTGGCATTATCTCTTATTACAAAGCACTACTAATACATTCAGTAAAGAAAAACATAGCATGAGCCAAAATCTCAGTACTTACCTAGTAGGCAAATAAAGTCCTGTACTAAAACTCCCAAATATCTGAACCTGGAAGAGAGGTGAAAAGTCAGTATGTTATTGAGCCCACTGAACTGAAGAAATATCCCAAAGACACCCACATCATTTTCAGCTACAGAAAATTAACACAAGGCATTTGCTGACTTCTAATAGCTTGATCCAACTAACCTTTGCCTTGTCTTCCTTTGCTAGACAACCCTTTCCACTGAAGAGCACTCTGGCCCAGGTAGCACACTGCCCAATCACCAAGCCCTAGCCTGGCACTGAGCAGTACTCCCACATGGACGACACGGTCTTTCCCGCCTGCTTTCCTGATTGCCTCTAACTGTCAATATGCCCACATGGGACAAATTATGATCAATAAACTATGGTTTTGGGCTGAATCCGAAAACTATGGATTGAAGCAACGTTTGTCTAGCACTAAGCAGTTTGCCAAATTCAGATATCACAACATGCTATGGTTAAAGCAAGCCAGGCAATGGGAAGGAATCAGCACATGTAAGAACAGCCTGCAATGTGTTCTGGCTCTTCCAAACCAATTAATAAGAACTGAACTGCCAAGGAAGAACAAGCATGCCGCATCAGAATATTTCATTCCAGGGGTGAAACCTCACAAGCCATTCTTCTGTCGGGCTTTTAACAACCTTCAACCATGGTTAAAAAAAATAAGCACTTTCTAGAAGAAGACATAGAACATGAACAGCTTGAAAGTTCCCAAGTTGGGTAACCCTAACGCAAAGCTATCGCATATGACTCCACCTCAGGAGTAATCATTCCGTGGTAAATGAAATGGCCTCTTTTAGTATTACTACAACAGTCAAGAAGAGACACTCTGAAAAATGAAAGCCTTGGCTACATGCACGCCGCTTTTCAAATATTAAAAACTTAACATCGCTCCCCTACTGTCAACTATTGGTCCTTCACTTAAAGTTTCTCCTCAAGCAACATTACAACAGCTGACTTGGTAAATACTGGTTTTCCTGGATATTTTCAAATGGAAACACCATTGTGCAAATGATGGTAAACTTTAACCTAACCATATAATTTAGCTATTTGGTTGGTATTCTATGGCCAATAAAAATTGCCTTGCCTTCAGGAACCCAAATGGCAATTGGATGACTTGTTCTGAAAGAACTCAAATTTGAACTTGTGGACCTCCTGACAAAAATACGTAATCCTTCATTAAAATCTGCCCCCATTCCTGAGGACTGGAAGGTAGCTAATGTTACCCCCATCTTTTAAAAGTGTTCCAGAGGAGATCCAGGAAATTACAGGCCACTTAGTCTGACGCCGATATCGGGTAAGTTGGTAGAAACCGTTATTAAGAAGAGAATTAGGAGGCACATTGATGAGCAGAAACTATTGAGGAAGACTCAGCGTGGGTTCTGTAAGGGAAGATCTTCTCTCACTGACCTGTTAGTGTTCCTTGAAGAGGTGAACAAACATGTGGACAAGGGGGCCCCAATAGATGTTGTTTACCTTGACTTCCAGAAAGCTTTTGATAAAGTTCCTCATCAAAGGCTCCTAAGTAAGCTCAATAGTCATGGGATAAAAGGACAAGTCCTCTTGTGGATCAAAAACTGGCTAATTAATAGGAAACAGACAGTGAGTATAAATGGGCAATTTTCACAGTGGAGGGTGGTAAGCAGTGGGGTACCACAGGGATCAGTACTCGGTCCAATGCTTTTTAACTTGTTCGTTAATGATTTGGAGTTGGGAGTAAGCAGTGAAGTGACTAACAGGAGGTGGTGGCAGCTAAAAGCATGGACAGCTTCAAGAGGGAATAAGATAAACATATGGAGCAGAGGTCCATCAGTGGCTATTAGCTGCAAGCTATAGATAGGAACTCTCAGGCTGGGGCAGGTGATGCTCTGTATTCTTGGCGCTTGGGGGGGGCGCAACAGTGGGAGGGCTTCTAGTGTCCTGGCCCCATTGCTGGACCTCCTGATGGCACCTGGTATTTTTGGCCACTGTGTCACACAGAGTGTTGGACTGGATGGGCCATTGGCCTGATCCAACATTGGCTTCTCTTATGTTCTTATGATTGTTCCCATAGCTGAAGCACACAAGTGCTCCCCACCCACCAACTTGTGTACTCATTAGCTTAGGATCTGGAAGACCCAGGTTCGAACCCCCACTCTGCCATGGAAGCTCACTGGGTGACCTTAGGCCAGTCACACAGCCTAGCCTACCTCACAGGGTTGTTGTAAGCATAAAATGAAGGAGAGGAACACGACAAAAGCCACTTCTGGGTCCCACTGGGGAGAAAGGCGGGGTATCCATGGAAGGAAATAAAAATATAATAACATTACATCCCATTTAAGAAGAGTTGGGTGGCACGCAGATGCAAGCTTTTCATCCCCCTCTCTCCTGCAGCAGACTGCTGTGGAACCACAAATCACACAAAGACTGGAATCGGAGTCTCTGTTGTCTTATCTTTAGCGTCTTCATTTCGTGCCCAGAATGGAAGAAGACAGCACCAGTGTTCCCTCTAAGCTGAGTTAGTGTGAGCTAGCTCACAGTTTTTTAGCCTCCGGCTCACACATTTTTGTCTCGGTTCAGGAAGGATGGGGCTCCAGAGCAAACTAATTTATGCAGGAGCCAAATCTCTCGCTCACAGCTTTAATGCCAGTAGCTCACAAAGTAGGTTTTTTGCTCATGAGACTCCACAGCTTAGAGGGAACATTGGACAGCACGGTGCTGCATTTCCCTAGGTGAAGAGAACAGCCTGCGACAGCTGCAGTCCCTGGACTGTGTGCGTATACCCGTCTTCTCTGAGGTTTAAGGCAAGGAGACACCGAGGCAACCATAAGGGCTACTGCCTGCCGCCCTGCTCTCCCACCGGTGCTGTAAATGAAGCTTTAAGACAAGGAACTTAAATCTGCCTTATGAATCACTGGCAGTATGTTTTTATGGAAGTCATCAATGTTATGTAATTGCTTGGGTGGTGGGATTCTTTGCACCACTCTGCATTGTGGCCTAGGCCAGCAGGCATGGAAGGCGCTACTGCGGGGGGGGGGGGGGGGGGGAGGGGTGCCAATAGAGAACAGAGCAAAGGATGGGTGTGATTTAATCAAAAATCCAATGAGAGGCATACTCACATCAGCCGTAGGCCACAGGTCTTTGATAACAGTTTCTATTCTTTTCACTACCTCTCTCCTCATAATTTCTTCTTCAGGACGCGGGGACATAAAGTCATAAAAATCCATGATTTCCTCATGGAGCCTGTTGTAAGGAAACACAAAGGTCAGCATCACCTGATTTTGTCATATATTTTACAGACAGACTAATACAACTTGGATATGAATCTGTTTTTCCCACGGAGGCCAACACTCAAGCCGCTAGACTGCAGTGAAGTTTCTGTCTTCATCAAACACCCGCTTTGGGGAAGAATAACATGACTGCAAATTGTTTCACAGCTACAGATGCCAGTATTTCTCCTATGGACCTTGCTACTGGATGATAAATTTCCATCCGGCCTGCCTGACCTACATGTATCTTTGTATGACTGACACTTTTTCTTGATTTATCAGAGATGTGAATATCATTTATACCAATTCTTGTATGACTTTCTAGTACCTACTCCACACACAAAAAAGCTGTGAGCAACAGAAAATGTGTGAAAGCATGAAATTGCCTTCCAGTAGATGAACACATTGTTCTGCCAGCAGCCCCTCTCCAAGGTCTCCAGGTTCTTCACCGTGATACTATCATGGAGGTGCAAATTATTGGAATGCAACTTTCTGCGATCTGCAGAATATCATGGGTTGGAGCAGAAGGCACACTTGGACAAAGAGAAGTCACAACCACTGCAGAGGAAGAGATCTCGGTTTTTATAGATTCCCCACTAAAATTGAGGCCCACATTGTTCTTAAAACATCCCTTGACTCCCAGAAACTATGTCTGGGTGGTACGGGAGGCTGCAGAAGATGAGAGGAAGAGCCACTCTATCAGCAGAGCTGTCTTTGTGGTTCTCTGGAGCCAATGCGACATGTTTCACTTAACCCCAAGAGTCAGGAAAGGATTGAAAAAAACAGAACACTCAATATTTGGGCACGAAAGCAAAGGATTCTGCAGCATCTTACTGGAGCAACTAGTGAATCCCTCAAAAGTGCCAGAATTCCAGCCTCCGAAGCTTTTTCTTCAGGTCTTTGTACACATTACATGGCAGAGTAAACCCAAGTTTGTCAACAAGTATGCTCTGTACGGGGAGCTCAGCTACTGCCTATCGTGTTTCCTTGACAGGTATATTTGTATGATACACATTTTCCATACTCAAGTTTCACATTTTCAGTGTCTACTTAAACAACAACACTTAACATTTATATAGCACATTAGTATTTACTATGCTCAGCAGCAATGTTCCCTCTAACCTGTGGAGTCTTGTGAGCAAAAATTCTACCTTGTGAGCTACCGGCATTAAAGTTGTGAGCGAGCGATTTGGCTACTGCATACATTAGTCTGCTCTGGAGCCATCCTTCTTCCTGAGCTGAGACAAAAATGTGTGAGTCGGAGGCTAAAAAACTGTGAGCTAGCTCACACTAACTCAGCTTAGAGGGAACACTGCTCAACAGGTATATTGGTATATTAAAATATCAGAATTACCCTCGCCATGTTCCATTCCGGGGGATGAGTCCAGACGAGGCCTTTCCCTAAGGCCACTTATTGAGTTTACAGAGGCTAAATGTAAACCCAAGGCTTCCTACTTTGTAGCTCCTACTCAGCCCTTATGCTACAGAACAACTGAAGTACAGCATCCAATACACATGTGTGCAGTGGCCCCTCCAGACTACCAAGACCTGTGAGCCAAACATCTGTTCCAGGTAACTTGATGGAAACCAACATTACTCCTCCGTTTAATAAGGAAGGATGTTCTTCCGCAAAAGTCATTCTGTTTCCATCAGAGGTCCATCAGTGGCTATTAGCCACAAGGTATAGATAGGGGCTCTGGGGCAAGTGATGCTCTATATTCTTGGTGCTGGGGGGGGGGGGTCAACAGTGGGAGGGCCTCTAATGTCCTGGCCCCACTGGTGGACCTCCTGATGGCACTGGTATTTCTGGCCACTGTGTGACACAGAGTGTTGGACTGGATGGGCCTTTGGCCTGATCCAACATTGGCACATCTCTTATGTTCTTATGATTCTTCCTCCGTGGAAATGTCTTACTTGATAAAATATTTCTACTCCGCCTTTCCAACCGCTAAATGGTGACTCCAAAACAGATTACATTTGCCAAAGCTAGTGAGCAAATACAATAAAGTCAACAATTATGCTGTTCTTATGGTACTCTTATTTCTGTGTTTTAAGGGGAAGTAGTTTAAAATGCAGGCCTCTAGAGCAAGGGGGGGCCTGGATGAATGCTTGGAGTGCGTTATGACGGGATGGTGGGGGTACCTGAGGGGCAGTGTTCCCTCTAAGCTGAGTTAGTGTGTACTAGCTCACAGTTTTTTAGCCTCCAGCTCACACATTTTTGTCTTAGCTCGAGAAGGATGGCTCCGGAGTAAACTAATTTATTCTGTAGCTAAATTGCTCACTAACAACTTTAATGCCCATAGCTCACAAAGTAGAATCTTTGCTCGCGAGACTCCACAGCCTAGAGGGAGCATTGCTGAGGGGTCAGAATTTGTTCAGAGGATTTGTGAGAGGGGAGAAGAGAGCCGAGTGGATGAGTAGGTTGAATGGGGCACTGTGGAGTGTGAGAGAAACCTGTGCTTTTTGTGGACGTTATTTGCCTAAGTGGCAAGGGAAGAAAATCAGCCTTTGCTGCTCGGTCTATTTAAGGAACTTTAGAGAGAAAGAAGAACTGTACCTATCTGAAACCACGGCACTTATGAATGGCACAAAAAAGCCATTAGTGCTATACTTCTAAAAAAACCCCTCCATGTTGAAGTGGAAACTGCTGTGTTATTTCGACTAAATGATCCCCTTTTACCTCAGAACCATCCCCCACCCATGCGCTGACCGTTCTGCCGAAGATCACTAAACCATCCCATTCTCTAGTAGCCAGTCTAGCCTCTCAATCCATTTCTTTTTTTTAATAGTTTATTTAGCTTTTTTCCAGAATAAACAATAGCACAAAAATATATTCATTTACATCATAGTTTGGAGTTTCTTTATCCATTTTTTCCCAACCAACTATCTACTCTCTGCCATCTTCTTTTAAAACACATTTTCACCCTTTCCCGACAAAATCATATTTACTTTGTCAATTTATTTTATTTCTATTTTAATTATTAATTCCTCTCTACTTGGTATTTCCAAATGAGGGCACTGGAGTTGCTGGATGGGCCCACCGGATGGGACAAGTGTTCCCTCTAAGCTGAGTGAGTGTGACCTAGCTCACAGTTTTTTGGCCTCCGGCGCACACATTTTTGCCTCAGCTCAGGAAGGATGGCTCCAGAGCAAACCAATTTATGCAGCAGCCAAATCGCTCGCTCACAACTTTAATGCTAGTAGCTCACAAAGTAGAATTTTTGCTCACGAGACTCCACAGCTTAGAGGGAACATTGGATGGGACCCTGTTGTACCAAGCTTGTGGCCCTCTAAAAAACAATTAAAAGGGCCCTTCTCCTGTTCTCTAAGAGAAGATCTTTTGGTGGCAACAGAAACAAGTAGGAAACACTAAGGAAGAACATGACGCGGCACAACACACATCACTTCGGAAAAGTACAAAGAGATGCCATTGCAGGTGTGACATACAAGCGGTCTTGGATAGAAGCAAAACGTTACAGGAATGCACATCAGTTCCAGAGGACAACGGAGTGGAGGGGGAGAAGGATGTTAGAAGTTTATTGAATTATTTACGGTGTGGAAAAGGTACATACTCAGAGGTTTATCTCCCTAATACTAGAACTTAAGAGGCACCTGATCAGCTTGACAGGCAACAGATTTGGAACAGACAGAAGACTGTTGTTGTAGACTTCCTGGGCCTTCTAGCAGCTGACGTTTCGACAGCAGCTGTGACTGGCATCCCCAGAGGTATAACACAGAAAGACGGGAGTACTCTCTGTGTCAATGCTGGACAAAATACTATTCCTTAAACCTGTGGAATCTACTGCACAGTACACAGTGATGGCCAGTAACTTGGCTGTAAAAGGAGATCAGACAAATTCACATAAGGTAGATCGAGATGGCTAGCCCTGTTAGTCTAATACATCAATCAAAGGGGTCTCGAAAATCCGTGACGATAAATTTACTAATAATTTTTCTTTTTCCCTCGCTTGAAGGCACTGTAAGGGGCCTGTTCCCTGGTCCTGGTCTTGGCTCTGCGGTCTAAAAAAGACCTAGTTGCTGGACCCTCCTCCCCAGAAGTGGTAGCAGAGTCCTCTGCTTCGGTGGTGTCCATATCGGTCATAGGTTCTTTCGTGTCTGCCCAAGACACTCTCTTAGAAGAGGTGGCCATGGGAGAACACCACTTATACACTCTATTGAGAGTGTAATCTCTATGATCTCTGTCAAGCTTTTTAATTTTTATTTCTCTTGTACGGTCTTCAAAAAGTCTCAATTCCTCTTCCAAAGCCTTAATTTTGTTGGCAAACTCCTCAGTACTATGTGAGCTTTTAAGTTTATCCTCAACTACCTTGGCTTCTTGTTTGGTATTTTCTGCTTCCTGGGTTGCTTCATCTATAATAAGGAGCATTAAATCGAATGAACATTTATTAAGAATTGCTATCCATTTATTCTTGAATTCCTCTTTGTGGAGGAACATAGCTGGTCCTTTCTGCAATCTTAAACCTCTAGGAATCAAATCGGAATTACAATATTCCGTGAGGGATGCAGCATGTAATGACATCCTAATCGATTTCTTACTGAGAAAGTCCAATTGAGCCCAATCGGAGGGATTTCTGGTGCCTCTTATGAGGCCTGTGTTGGTACCTAATATTCTAGCCCTTTCTTCCTCAGAAAATGCAAACCTGTGATTTAATGTGGACATGTTGTCCCCACTAACAATGAGACCACAAATACCTAGGGGAACAGCAATACAAAACTGTACTATAAACCCAAAGATTGCTGCAAGTGTGCACAAACAATAAATGAATTTACACAAAAGTAAGTCAATCTTCACTGAAGATGATATTCATGATGTGTCTTTTATAGTCGATGAACAGGTGGACAGAAGACAGACGAACTTCTCGAGTAAATGCCCGTTTCGAAGTGTCTTTCTCAATAATTTCGCATCCAAATATACTGAAGATGACGATGAAGTCTTTAAATCAAACTGTTTTTTCCATGAGCTATGCAGCTACATACAAAACTCTCCAATGGACTAATAAGTCTTGTGCACACTTGCCTTCTAGTCTGGCACAGCAAGAAGCATCCTGGACTGGATAAATGACTGGCCTGGCCTGGCAGAGCCCTCCTTACTTCTTCTGAAATCCCACAGCCCCGAAGGAAACCCCACTCATTTCCCTCGAAGCTGCCTTATACTGAATCAGACCACCGGTCCTTCAAGGTCAGCACTGTCCTCTGAAAAGAGTGGCATGCAGTGAAGGCCCTATTGTCCAGAGGCAGGCAGCCTACAAAACCTCCCAACACAAACAGAGGAGGCAGACAGCGAGACGGAAGTGAGCTCCAGTCTCTGGCCCCAGCTCCTGCCAACCCAGCAGTTCAAAAGCAAGAAACTGCAAGTAGAAACCTTTACCTTTTGCCTTTCCTAGGGAGGTTGAGGCGGTGGTGCGCGTGACTCTTCTTCCCTCCTCTCTGTCCTCACAACAACCCTCCCAGGTAGGTCAGGGCATCCTTTCTGGAACACACTGACTATCAACTCAATCAACAGCTTCAGGGATCGTTCTCTCCATCCCTGGCGGCCCTTCCTCTTGCACAATAAGGATGATTATTACCGGGGGGGTGTGTGTGAGACATGGGCGATAAAAAGGCCAGAGGGGCTAGCGGCAGTTCGGCTTCCAAAGCAGCAGCAGAGGGGAGTCTGGAGGCCTCTGGGAACCTTCAGCTGGAAGGAAAGGGTGCATCCTTTTCACTGCACCCCTGGGCGCCAGGGTCCCCTCTCAGCTGCGTCAGTGTGGTGCCCCCTCTAAGCGGCGGAGCCTTGTGAGCAAAAAACTCTACTTTAGGAGCCACTGGCCTTCAGGTGCTCGGCCGTGCGCGCGTGCGGGCAAAAGCGCATACCTTGAATCAACGAGGAATTTCAGACAGACGATATAATCCGGAAGAGGAACGGTTCCCAAACGGTTTCTGGTCTGTCATTTCAGACAGAACCGTTTTAGAACCGGTTCCCTACCTATATTTGTAATTTCAGACACAAACGCTTCTGTCCCGTTTAGGAAACGGGGCTGTAGCATTTTACCTGTCAACCGCTTCCAAGTAGTCTTCAGTTTCCTCTCCCGGTTCCAAAGTGCTTTTTCCCGCCGTTTTTCGCCTGTGTGGTCGATCTCTGCCTCTCTCTCTCTTTTGGAACGTTCGCTTTATAGCGCTATAACAGTATAACGCTATTGCACAACAGCATTATATCAATCCCAGTTTCCTCTCCCAGTTCCAACGCGCTTTTTCTCTCCGTTTTCCACCCGCGCGGGCCATCTCTGGCTCTCTCTCTTTTGGAACGTTCGCTTTATAGTGCTATAGCACTACAGCAGTATAACGCTATTACACAACAGCATTATAGCAACCCCATTGGGACACCTAGAGTGTTGTGTTATAGTGCTACAGCGCTCTAAAGCGAACGTTCCCCCCCAAAAGCCAGAGATCGCCCGACCGGCGAAAAACCGCGTGGGGGGGAAAGCTGGAAAAAGCCGGCAAGCCGCTTCAGATCCAGCTCTTTACCGGAAGGGGGACGCCATGTGTGAAGTGGCAGCCCTATACCGGATCAAAAAACGGCTTTAAAACGGGTTAAAAGGGGGGTCATGTGCAATGTTCCCTCTAAGCTGTGGAGTCTTGTGAGCAAACATTCTACCTTGTGAGCTGCTGGCATTGAAGCTGTGAGCGAGCCATTTGGCTACTGCATACATTAGTTTGCTCTGGAGCAATGTTCCCTCTAAGCTGAGCTAGTGTGAGCCGGCTCACAATTTTCTACCCTCCGGCTCACACCTTGTTGCCTCTGCTCAGGAAGGAGGGCTCCAGAGCAAACCGATTTACGCAGCAGCCAAATCGCCCGGCTCACCACTTTCATGCCTGTAGCCCACAAGGTAGAATTCTTGCTCACAAGACTCCACAGGCTTAGAGGGAACATCGCTCTGGAGCCCCATCCCTTCCTGAGCGGAGACAAAAAGGTGTGAGCCGGAGGCTAGAAAACTGTGAGCTGGCTCACACTCACTCCACAGCTTAGAGGGAACATTGCTCTGGAGCCCCATCCCTTCCTGAGCGGAGACAAAAAGGTGTGAGCCGGAGGCTAGAAAACTGTGAGCCGGCTCACACTCACTCCACAGCTTAGAGGGAACATTGCTCTGGAGCCCCATCCCTTCCTGAGCGGAGACAAAAAGGTGTGAGCCGGAGGCTAGAAAACTGTGAGCCGGCTCACACTCACTCCACAGCTTAGAGGGAACATCGCTCTGGAGCCCCATCCCTTCCTGAGCGGAGACAAAAAGGTGTGAGCCGGAGGCTTAAAAAACTGCGAGCCGGCTCACACTCACTCAGCTTAGAGGGAACACTGGTGTGGGGGGGTCTCTCTTCAGACTGTCACCTCCCCCCCCCCATCCCCACAGTTTTCTGCTTCCTGGTGGACATCCCTCAAGGTCGGTCGGTCTCCAAGGTGCCCCCCGCTGGACTCTACCTTTCTGTCAGGTCGACCACTGCAGAGAGGTCCTCCAGTCTCCTTCCCCAAACCCGAGAGCTGGAGGCTAAAGAGGCTGCGGGGCGGCTCACCCCCGACGGGGCTTGGGGGGGACCCTGGAAGCACCCCACCTCCCCGCCCTCTCGCTCAACTCACCCTCGGGTGCCCGGGGGGTAGGGCCTGGCCTTCCACGGCGTGCCGGGGGAGGAGGAGGAGGGAGGGCCGCCCAGCAGGCGGTCGTTGAGGCCGTAGGTGCTGGCCTTGTTCTCGCGTTTCCCACGGCCTGGGTGGTACTGCCGCGGGGGCTGCTGCTGCTGCGGGGGCTGCCTTGGGCAGCCCTCGGCCCACTCCTCCGCGGGAGCCTGGCCGGAGGAGGGCGAGGAGCCGCCGCCAGGGCTGTCGAGGCCGGACTCAACCGAGCTGGGCTGCTGGTGCAGCAGGAGGAGCCGTGGCGGTGGGGTGCGCCCGTCCGCAGCCACTGGCAGGAAGAGAACATAAGGCGGCGGCGAGGCAGGTCCGAGCAAGGCGCGGCAGCAGGGCTGAAGAGGCAGAGGGAGTAGTGGGGCGAGCCGGGCGGAGGGCTGCTGCTGGTGCTCGGGCCTCGCTGGTCTTCCTCCCCCTTGGCTCCAAAGGGAGGCCCGGTGGCTGCAAGCCGCTTGGGCCTCGCTGGTCTCCCCCCCTCCAAAGTGGCGGCGGCGAGGCAGTTTGTAGAGCGTTCCCTGCGCATGCACAGGGGACGCTCTGTTACTTTTGGGGGGATTTAAGTATCCCCCCGATATTTTTTCAGGTTTTCAGATTTTTGTGCACAACTGGGGGCTGCCCCGTGTGTGCACGAAAATCTCCCTCCCCCCCAGGTGCCCCCGATGCACGGATTTAGGTATCCGCACGCAAGGGGGCACCTTCACTATTAGATATATAGATAGTTGTATATATGGAGAGGGTGGCTTGTTAGATTAGCATGCAAAATAGTGAAGATGTTTTTTAACAGATAAAAAGAATGTCAAGCTTCGGTTCTAGTTAAGAACATAAGAATTTAAGAGAAGTTAATGTTGGATCAGGCCAGTGGTCCATCCAGTCCAACACTCTGTCACACAGTGGCCAAAAATACCAGAATACATCAGGAGGTCCAGCAGTGGGGCCAGGACACTAGAAGCTCTCCCACTGTTCCCCACCCACCCTCAGCACCAAGAATAAAGTTATCATCTCTTTCATCAGTTTATTCTGATCAGGCCAATCTGCTGACCACCAAACTAAGAGTGTGTGAAGACCTTGTGGGCGGGGGGCTGCTGCTGCTACTACTGTGGCTGCCGCCTCCTCCGCCTCCTGCCCCGGCGGAGGCGTGGTGGTTGGGGGCGCCGGGCCGGCCCTGGGCCGTCTCCCAGATCTGCATCCAGAGCGCGTTGGCCGGGCCCTTCTGCTCGGGCTGGATCCAGGCCACGCGAGGATCCATCCATCCGGGGCTCCGCCGCTCTGCGCGCGCCGCTCCCGCCCCCCCCTCCGCGCCGCCCCCTCACGTCACGGGGAGGGGCGGGGCTAACGGAGGAGGGAGGGAGGGAGCGGCAGGCCATCGGTAGGCAGGGGCGGGGAGAGGGGGCGGCCGCGCCTGCGCAGTGGGAGGGGAGGGGAGGCGCAAAGCGCGGCTGCGCCCTGGAGACGCCCGAGAGCGGGTGCGCGTGGGTGCTTCCTTGCCGTTGGGAGAGGGAGCGCGTGAGCGGGGGGGG